GCCTGAGCTGCTGCCACCTTTTTATCGGCAATTTCTTCAGCCCCAGCTGCACGTCCAGTCAGATAGTCGTATTCGAACTTGGATATGGTAATTGAAGAACTACTCTGTGATTCAAAAGCTCTAGCTCTTATGGTATCCTCGATAAGTCCCTTGAGATTTTCAAGAGCTACAGCTTCTGATGATTTGACTGTTTCAAGCTCTTCCATTGCAGCCTGTAATTTTTCCTCAGTCAAGTCTATCTCAGTTTCCATTTTCAGAATTTCTGACTTGATGGTTGCAGCCTCTTCACAAGCAAGCTCCTTTTCTTTCCTTGCAGCCTCTGCTTCTGTCTTAAGCTTTTCAAGAGTGAGCGAAAGATTGGATGCCATTGATCTTGCTTTTTCTTCAGATGCAGATACAGCTTCCAGCTTGGCTTTTGCTCTGAGAAGCTTTGAATTGAGACTTTTAACAGTTAAATCCGATTTCTCTTCTGTTTTCCTTAATCGAGCAGTCTCGTCTGTTAAATGCTTAAGCTCATTTCTTATGATATCCATGGAGGCCATGAACTGAAAACCTTCTACTTTCACTGCGGCCAATTCTTTCTTTGCCACCTCTAGTTCTTCTGTGACTGAATGTAACAATGGTGAACCTTCCAAGTCCTCTCCTCTATGAAAACTAGGTTCTGAGCGACTCAAGCTATCAATCCTTTGAATCCTTTTGTCCATTTCTTTAACTAGCTTGAGTTCATTTTGTAACATAACCACATCAGACATTGTGACAGATAATTTAGTTTCAAGCTCTTTGGAGGAATCAATCTCTTCAATAACATCTTTCATTTTTTTCCTGGTTTCCTCCACTGCAAATGAGAATTGATTGGCTTCCTTTTCTCTCTCAGCTTCAATATCTGCAAATTCTCTTGAAGCTTCAATACGGGCCAACTCAGTTAGCACTTGCTCTTCATTGGCATCCTCAATCTCCTTCCTGATTGCTTCCACTGAGCTTGTATAAAACAACATCTTTGTATTTGCGGCCTCAGTTTGCTTCTCTGCCCGCGATTTCTCTTCTAAAACAGAAGCCACATCAAGCTTAAGCATGCTGAGTTCCTGCCTCACAAGTTCCAATTCTCTCATCACGTCTGCATATTGTTGATTCTCCACATCCCCTAGAGCCAACACCTGATCTTCACGCTTATTTCCACGCCTTCTCGATTTCTTTAGTACTTCAATCTCTCGTGTATGTGACTTTGCCATGGAGTTTGATTCCTCAATCTCAGAAGAGAGATCTTTGGCTCTCTTGTATACTTCATATAGCTCAGATTCTGCCTGTGCTTTTACCAAATCTGTGTCTGTTCTGTTTCCTTTGAACCGACCTATGTCCCGGCGCGCCATACGGAGTTCTCTTGCTATTGAAGAAGACTTCTTAGGAAATTAGCAGACACAGATAGAGAAACAGAAAGATCAGAAGGAATGCAGATTGGTGTTATGCTTACATAATGAAAGAAACTAAAACATCTGTGAAATGGGGTTGTTCCATAGTTTCAAGAGCTGTAGTTTGCTGAGTTATATGTATATGTATATATATATACCTCTGAGAAATCTATCTCTGGTTTCTTCAGTGAAGGACTAGCTTCAAGAATCTTATCTTCATATAGATTGTTGGCTTTTCTAAATGACCCAATTCTTCTTCTGCTATCAAACTCTCCTCTACTCATATTAAACCTGTTTTTAACACTCATGCAAGACAATTCTGTTAATTTCTCAAAAACCCAAATAACTTTTTTTTCTGCTCAAATTGGAATGAAATTCTAATAAATAAATAAAACTAGAATCTAAACTTGCTTTTCCTGATACTATTGCACAGATATTCTCTTCATCAAACTCAAATGCAAGCAAAAAAAAGCAACTAAAATTAACAGTCTTCAAAACATACTCAGAAATGTGTACCTTGTGAGAGTGAACTTCGTTCCTTGAAAGCCAGAGTGCTTGAGCTAGCTTTTTTCTTTGTCAGACCGTTTTATCTTTATTCGGTTCAAAGAGAGAACAAAGATAAAACAGCAAGAGTTGCTTGTGTCCTGAACTCCTGATGTTTGGCTGATATTGGAACTACCGCCAGCCAGCCATCTAATCTATTTGTTTTTTTTTTTTTTTTCTTCCCAGTTTAAAATGTTTTTTCAAATATTATTGACCCATTTTTGGTGCAAGTCCAAAAGGTCATAGGTAAAATTCCCACTCGAGCTTTTTAAATCGTAGCTTCAAATTTTCCCAAGTTGTCAATTTAATCAATGTCCCTTAAATACTCCATATAGATTTTTGTTAGTTCGAACAGTGGTCCACCCATTCGTACAATGATACAGAATGTCCTGCCATCTAATGAAAAAAAATTGTTCATATGTTGCCAAATATGATATACCGAAGAATATCCTCAACCAATTACAGTCTTTCTTTTAGGCAAAAATCTCATTTTGGTCTTTGTAGTTTGTCCGGTTTACTATTTTGATCCCCCATAGTTTAAATTTTGTCAATTTATCATTGTAGTTTAAATTTGGAGTAATTTAAGGACAGTTTTCAATTTCTGTCAAATTCCTTCAAATTCCATTAAGTTTTGACCATGTCCCCTATTACATGAAGGGGTACTTCAGTCCGCTCGAGCCATCTAACGGTAAAACACAACCTGGAGCTCTTTCCATTCACTTTAGGTGTGATATGGAGGATTAGGGTTTCGGAAAAAAATTTGCATCTCTGGGTTAAAATTTGGGTGAATTTGGAGGAATTTGACTCAAAATACCCCTCTACGCAAGGGGCAAGTGGTCAAAGTTAATGAAATTGAGAGAGATTTAACAGAAATTTGAAACGTGTCCTTGAATTGCTTCGAATTGAAAACTACAAGGATTAAATTGAAAACAACAAAGATAAAATTGACAAAATTGAAACTACAAAGTGGTAAAACCGACAAACTAAAATGACTTGTTCCAATTCTTAAAAGTTAACATGGTATCACAACGGCCACACAAGCACCACAACTTCACCCAATAGCAATACGTTGTCTGTCTACGTATTAGGCTCAATAAACACCATAAGTGAGAAAGTGTGTTGAGAGTAAAAGTCACGCATTAATAGTTCAAACGCTGATATGCAATGGTTGCACAAGGGCGTGTCTGGTGGAGTTGGCAACAGCGCATGTCCAATTAAGGAAGTGCCAGAGTTCGAATCTTGCTGAAGTCAGTTTGTTTGCTTGTTTTTATATTATTTTTGCATTATAACTAAAAACTATACATTATTATTATATTTAAAAATAAAAAAAAACAGAAAGCCTTTAATGAAAGGAAACATCGAAGCTAACCACAGGAGGCCTGGAGAAAAAAGAAAAAAAAAAGGCTAACCACAAGAGGGTATATATATCCCCCAAACACTTTCTACTCCTTACCTATCCTTCTTTTGATAAAAATTAAAATTTAAAAAAAAAAAGTTTTCTCCTCCAAAAAAAGTACTTTCTTCATTTAAAACAAAACAAAAAAACCTTTATGATTTCTTCTTTCTCTTATACTCTGCTTTTCTAGTAAGTAATCATCATCATTCATCAATCTCTCTTTGGTTCTTTTTTCAATCCCTTGACAATTTTTGTTATTCTTTCAATCAATCTCTCTTTAATCTATGATTGCCAATTTTTTTTCCTACTAAAACATAGATTGCTTATTAAAGGCAGTAAGATACCTTATAGGGGCACAAGGATCTTATAGTACCAAACATTTAATTTTATCAAATGGAAACATTTAAAATTTTATGAATTTGATTTTTTATTGTCATTACATATTTATTGATGGTGACTTTTAGTTATAAAAAAATTGTTTATAACATTAAGTTACGGTAAATTTTTATTTATAGTATTTTCGTATTAAATTATGTGATGCCCCAATTAAAGTTTCGCACAGGGCCCTCAAAATCTCAGGGACGGCCCTGCCTGCAGGCATCTGTATTCTATTTTGTCAAGGAAATCTAGTTTCTTATATCACAAATGGATGAAATGGAACTCAACAATGGATGTATTAGCTAATCTTTGGCTTGAAGACACTGGCTCTAGAGTCTTGCATTGGATCCTTTTACATGTGTTTTCGGCTATGTGGTTATTATACCACTGTTTGCATGGATATGTTCACCGTCGCAATATGCTTTTAATTTTATTTTATTATTTCTGGTCGGAAACTGTTTGCCTGAAATATCAACATAATGTGAAAAATAGAAAGATTATTTTTGGATGAATTGAATTGGTAAGGAAATGGGCAAAAGACAAATCATATATTACAAAGATAGTTTTGGCAGGACTGCAAAATGACACATTATAGACATTTGGATCTACTGACGTGTCTTAGAAATCGAAGGCAGAAGACCTGCCACGTCTTTGCATGCCAAACCATACGACCGCGTAAAGCATAAACCAAAGAGGGTTGTTTTGTTTTCCGCTTCGAGACATACTGTGATCAGTGACGGATTCAAGATTCTTAGGTTATGAGGTGTAAAAGTTTTGAAACATAAAACAAAACGATAGCACTTTCTTTCTTAAAACACAAAACTATAATCATTTAATCAAAATACAAAAGGCTAATCAATTCATATTAAGAAAAACCCTAATCAATTAATGAAAACACAAGACCTTAATGAAATATTTATAAATAAAAAAATCCCTAATCAACTAATCAAAACACAAAGCCCTAATCAATTACTCAAAACACAAGCCTTAATGAATTAATGAAAATAGTATCAATAAACCTTTGACGAGGAGGAAGAAATGTTCATTTGGGGGGTTAATGAAGGGGATGAATCGGGCTGAGCAAGTAAAAGGAGCTGGGGTGTTTGGGTTGACTCAGTTAATTTAGGTTTGCACCAATGGTTTGTTTGGGTTTTTGAAATTTTGATTTATTCGCAATGGGTTTTTCAATTTATGTGTAGATTACCAAAGGATAAAAAGAGTTGTAAATTTTTTACATATACAATATATATATGATGTTTTGGTTCTTTTGGTTATTTGGAATGTATTGTGAGTACTTCTGGTTACTCTTCACTTCATTGATTACACAACATATGAAAGCCTATAATTATAGGTCTAAGGTAACAAAAGGCTATATAAAATTGTCAGCCAAGGTCGATGGCACATATCATAGTGGAAAAATATGTTTAGCCTAAGAAGAGTGGTGTCAAATTCGAAACCCCTAAGCACCAGTGAAGAGCAGATCTAGAAAATTTTATAGAGGTCGGCTAATATTTTTTTTTTAATGAAAAATGAAAAATACATTATATAACTTTTTTTTTCTTCTTCAAAACAGGTTTACATGGTTAATTGGCTATAGGTTATAGGTTTTTATTTTCTTTTTTTTAAAGGGAGTTTTACTAAAATACCCAAAATAGGGGTTGAAATTATAAAAATACCCAACACCCAAAACACTTTATAAACATACCCAAAACTCATCATTACACACATTCAAAACCCATTTATAAATATACCCAAAACCCATCATTACACACATACCCAAAACCCATTTTGGGTATGTTTCTATGTTTAAATAGTACTTGGGTATTTTTATAAATACATGTCTAGGATTGGGTATTTTTATAAATATCTATTTTTTTAATGCAAAGGAAATGAGTGGTAGCAACTATTCTTCAACTAACAATTTTTAAATTTTATGGGAGTACAAATAGAAGTAGGGAGTGCAATCATATAGATCTACAATTGCACAATCACAAGCTACAACCATTCAACAAAACCAAAGACAACTAGACTATATAAAAGCAGAGATCAAGTAAATAGATTAAACCATAAAAAGGATGAATCATCAATAAAATCCAAAATTTAACACCCAAACCCTAAAGAACCCATTGGATATAGGTTAATACAATTTTAAAGAGAAAGAGACCTACTACTTCTAAGCTCTCAAGTTCAAATATAAAGTCATAACTTACATGGATGGATAATAGAAAAACATGATGTGTTGATGTGCGTGGGTGCGTCTAGAGATGAAATCTTATGATTGGGTAGGCTAATGTCAAGAAAGAGGGGTGGACTATTTTTAATTAATTTGGGTTTGACTTATAAAGATAACACGAATTTTTTTTTAATCTCCAAAATTTAACACTGGACTAGAGCCCACTCTAGCCCATGCATAGAGATCCGCCCTTGGCACCAATGTGAGTGAATAAATCCACTCCCCTTCCTACCTTACAAAAAAATTATAAATAAAAAAATACTCTTAGACAAGTGACGAAATGAAAGCTCCCCCTATTGATAATAATGGAACAAAGGCCTACATTTGTAGTACGTTAATTAAATTAAACACAAAATTTGAACAGATATTGTCACACCAAAGCAAGGGACAGCTGCTGTGTCATTCTGGCTGCGGCAATTATCCGGAAAAGAAAAAAAGAACATCAGTTTGGGCTTAGGGTTTTAAGAAATACCCAAAACCCAGCCGTCGTTATCATCTTCCTCCTTGGCAGCTCCAGCTCTGCATCTACCACTGCGATTCTGGTTATTCAGCTCAGGTACCTTTCTTTCAGCCCCATTTCTCTTCCGCCTTCGAAAACGTTGGGATTGGGGGCAGTACACTACATTGCCGTCGTATTCAAAATTAGGTTGCTCTAACTCTATTTCTTTTTCCTCTAGTTGTGATTTAAGCTAAGAATCGGGTGATGGGTATTTTGTTTTGGGTGGTCTCGTATGGTTTAGGGATCTGTTTCTTGTTGATGAATTTGATTAGTGGCTGTTTCATTCATGGGGTTTTCGGGGGGTACATCATCTGATCATGCTTCTTTGTTCTTCTGATGATATATTTGGCTATATTTTTTTGTTCAGTCAAGTTGATGATTACATGAGTTGTGCTAAAAAGGTGGCATAACTGACTTCAATGGCAGAGCAATAGCCTCTGTAAATACAAAGGCAGAGAAGTAGGCCCTTTATGCACAAAGCAGAGAAGTTGTTCTTAAGATATACAAAGATTAAGGATCATTGTAGGGTCTTTAAAGAGTAGTAGGCTCTTTGAATACAATGGTAGAGCAATAGGCATTTGATAAG